GCCTCCAAATGCATTTTTCTTGGTTATGCACAAACTCAAAAGGGTTATTGCTGCTATGATCCTATCTCAGGGAAAAGATTTGTCTCCATGGATGTCACTTTCTTTAAGGAGACACCCTATTATTCTCGGGTTTCTACTCAGGGGGAGAGCAGTGTGAGTCAGGATTTGGGTCACTTTCTTTAGGGGGAGAGTAGTGCGAGTCGGGATTTGGGTCACTTTCTTCAGGGGGAGCGCAGTGAGGGTAGGGTTCATACTTTTGGGGCTGTTCCCTTACCTATTCCATTGGGTGATGAGGGCTACCATAGTGAGGGTGGTCGGAGGGATCAGGAGTTGAGGGTCTATCACAGGCGATGCAGGCAGGTTGATCTTGGTCATCAGCAGTTCAGGCCAACTCCAATCTCTTCTACGGCTCCAAGTCTAGGTATTACAGTCCCAGGGCCCACAGAGACCTCTTCCACTGTTGCCACTTCACCTCCTCCAGATGACCTTGACCTTCCCATTGCCGTCCGTAAGGGAAAACGGCATTGTACCACATCTACAGCCCACTGTATTTCCCAATTTTTAACCTATGATCACCTATCTCCCTCCTACAGGTCCTATCTCACTTCCGTTGCTAATGTCCCTATTCCAAGAACAGTGCAAGAAGCCCTATCAGTTCCGGAGTGGAGAGGTGCAATGCAAGTTGAAATAGATGCCCTGTTGAAAAATAATACCTAGGAGCTAGTTGATTTTCCCAAAGGAAAGAAACCAGTTGGATGCAGATGGGTATTTACTGTGAAGCACAATGTAGATGGTTCCATTAAGAGGTACAAAGCTCAGCTAGTTGCAAAAGGGTTCACTCAGACTTATGGTATARATTACTTGGAGACATTTGCCCCGGTAGCCAAGATGACCACCATTCGAGTTCTATTATCTCTTGCAGCAAGCCACACTTAGTCTTTGTACCAAATGGATGTTAAAAATGCCTTTCTGAATGGGGACTTGCAGGAAGAGGTTTACATGCAGTTGCCTCCTAGATTATATGATACAGAGGCAGGTAAGAAGGTTTGTCGGCTCAATAAGGCATTGTATGGTTTGAAGCAGTCACCTAGAGCTTGGTTCGACAGATTCAAACTAGCCCTTGGGAAGTTCGGTTATGTACATGCCCAGTCAGATCATATACTGTTCATCAAGAGGGTGGAGTCCTCTCTGACATTACTTGTAGTATATGTTGATGATATTGTGGTGATAGGAAATGATAACCATGAAATTGAGTCCCTCAAACAGCTCCTTCATCAAGAGTTTGTGGTGATAGGAAATGACAACCATCACAAGAAGTGTGTCTCCCGTACATCACCTCCAACATGCAGCTGGCAGATATCCTCACCAAAACTGTACCACGGAAGAAGCTAGAGGCGGATCTATCCAAGTTGGGAATGATAAACATTTATTCCCAACTTGAGGGGGAGTGTAGAGAACACTG